CAGAATTAATTTGTAGAAAGGATTTGCACCTAAACCGGCACCACTATTGGCACCACTTTCACATGTCTGCTACGTTTTAGCATTAAGTACACATAGGTAGAAACCAGGCAAATCTTCGGATGACCTTTATTTTTTATCTTTTACTTTTTTCTTCGGCTCTGTCATTCCTTTTTTCGACGGCCTAAGGCTGCTAGGCCGCTGGGCTTCCGGGACCTTCTTGTTTGGGTGTGTAGATACATATATATACCTGGGTACATACATGTAGTTTGTTTTCTTCTCCGTATCCTTTGTCTTCCGGTAAAGTTTCTTCCCCATTTTGCTTTCTTCCGTGACCGGAGACTTCGATATTCTTGTTGCAATACACTCCTTTCTAAAAGACCCGCCACATATCCCAGTCCGTATTGGCCATTTCCAAACCCCACCCCCTCGGCATGGAGCCCCATCCAGAGACATTTTATTTGTTTGGGAATCTCCGGTTGGCAGACCCTGAAAGGTGCTTACTCCAGGAGGATCAGTCAGTAGCAAGTCGAGCGATTTCGCTCATGCGCGACTTTGAGCAAGCCCCTCCAGGTGAGTATCTATCCCAGGAGTGAATGGCATGAATTTACTCAGGCTCACATAGATTGGGATTTACCTAATAGATATCCTTGGGACATTGATTCCGCACACCAGCGCCTCGTGAGCGATGACCTCGCCTGGTCGCGGGCTAGGAATGTCGAACGACCTGAAGAGTACATTGGTCGTCCAAGCGGCTCGTCGGTGGCTTGCATTCTGTTCAACCCCACGTTTTCTGTCAAAAGATCCTTCTCTCGGAGAGAACTTCGACCCATCGAATGCGACAATCTCTCAAATGGAACGAGCCGGATTCAACCCTAGCAATACATTATTTGTCGACCAAGTCACCAGAAGAGACATTAGCCAAAACGTGGAGACCATTTACCCCGAAAATATCTGGCAGATTCATGAGAGGCTCATGAGAGAGATATGGAACAATATGCAACCAGTTGTAGTGATATGCTGGGGATCAGCCGTTCGAACGCGTCTGCTGGGCACTTCGAAGAAAGCTGGTTGGTTTCAGAACTTGGAAGTCCTGAGCTTTGGGGGCCTCTTCACCGGTATCGAGGTGTTTTGGAGCTCAGCCCTGACAAAAAGTCAATGAAGCGATTCCCCTGACAACTAGTATTTCTTTATAGGATCTCGACCCAAAACCTAGCCCAATTTATGGGCCCCTATTAAACCCATTAAAACCCATTAAGTAAAGACGTGACTTTCACATGACTACATAATCTATGCAGTTCTAGGTGGGCTTATGGGGTATTTTGTATACATATGAAGTATCTGAATTTATATATTATCAGCAATTTATAGATCCAGATGATGATTCTATTTCATATATATGTAAAGTTGGTGGAATCTTCCAACTTTGTCAAATATGTCAAATATATATTTCTACAATTTTACACCACAACATATATTATATCGCAGTTGAGAATAAATCAATATGATAATCAAATATCGTATAACTGACAATAAACTCGCCATTCATATAGTTATTAGTCTCTATTAAAGAGACATATCTAGTTGTATTACTAGATGATTATGGCAGACGCATTAAAACAGCGATAAAAAACCGTAACGTATTTCACCACCGAGCCGGCCACACCACCGAGCCGGCCACCTAATCCAACCTATTAAATTCAAATGCATTTATCTCAACCAAAACGCCATTAAATTAAATAAACTAAAATGAATCTATCTAGCTGGACATCTATTAAATTTATGCCATGTTGATCCGCACCCACTACACCTCGCTGGCGCCCGTGTATGTGGTTCTAAAGCCC